ACGAAACTGGGCCTTCAGTCTTTTCAATCGGACAGCTGAGAAAACTCAGAGAAGAGGCCAAGGTGCTGGCCTCCCTGGAGCCCTACTACCAGCCAGAAGAACCAGCTACTGGCCTCCAAGAGCCCCCAGTCTACCCTCTAGATTCAGCCATCCCCGTGTGGAAATGAGGCACAGGGATTGGGATGGTGTGCTGAAAAAGAGGAGGCTGACTTGCCTTCTTTTCTTTTCTTTTCTTTTCTTTTTCTTTTCTTTTTCTTTTCTTTTTTTTTGGGGGCGGGGGGCAGAGAAAAGTACCAAAATACCCCCAGAAGTTGAGATGTATGCCGAAATGCCCCTCAAAGATGTGGATAGGAATGTCCCTCTGACAAAAAAAATATTTTGTGAAATACCCCTGGCGTCGGTTGGACCCCCACCTTTGCAATATATACCCCTACCCGGTGCAATCCAACTTTGCAAAATGCCCCAGTACTTGCCAACTTCTCCTCGGTGCTGTTGCAAAAAGTCAAGGCCCAAACGGGGAGGTCCAGATTGCAAAGTTGCACACCCGCCTGACAGGGGGACGGCACAAAGATTTCGGCCCAAAAGGCCATTCCGCTCTACCCACATCTTTCAGGGGCATTTTGGCATTGATCTCAAGATTATCAACTCATGAGGGTATTTTTTTTACTATTTTGCAAATTATCCCTTTTTTTTTCTTTTTTTTTGCTTGTTGTGAAAGCCCTTCTTCAAGGTCTCTATCCCAGTGGTGGTAAGAGAACCACCGGAATTGAGTGTTTCCCTGTTGGGCTGCTCCATCTATTGGTGGGGAGCAACACCTGCTGGAAACCGGGCCCAGAGTCCGTGATCTGGTTACCTTAAACCACCAGTACTTGGACCAGCTATTGTCCGCGGAAAAAAAAATAGAGTAGAAACGTTTCTAGTCAGATGAATTTGGTCACTCCTATAGTGCCCCGTACGTTTCCTAAAATTTTGGCGGCCACTGGTGGTTTAACCTGCAGAGGTGCCGAAATCTGCTGTGACGGTGGAGTCCCTTTTCTCTTGCCCTTTCCCATCGGCCACGATTTGGGCCGGTGGATGTTTTCCAGGTGCCAAACTACCGCCAGGCAGTGGTGTCCAGGCCTAGATCCTGTTTCATATATTTCCATGCTTGCTGTATTCTATTTTTTTACATGCTTTTTTCTTTTTTTTTGGTGGTCCTATGGACCAAGTATCAGATATTAAACCACCACTACTTCCTAAAGTCGTGCCCGTTAACGCGCCACGGTTTTAGGAAACGTACGGGCCACTTTCTACTCTGTTTTTTTTCCGCGGACAATAGCTGGGCCAAGTACTGGTGGTTTAAATTGATCAGAACAGATACTACACTTTACCTTAGCCAAAAGGCCGAGAAAGGTATTTCCTTTTCATTTTTGCTTTTTGTGTTGCAGTATTCTTTTTTTTTTTTTTTTTTTTTTTTTTTTTTTTTTTTTTTTTTTTTTTAAAAAGAAATGCTCCAATCTATTCGCGGGGAGCAACACGTGTTGGAAACCGGGTCCAGCGTCCCATAAGGACATTTACAGCTTCAACAAGGATCTTTTTTGAGAAAAGTTGAGAAGACCTCCCCCTGCCAGCATTGATTAGTGATCTCAGTCTCTGCTTGTGGGGGGGCAAACGTCTAATTATTATGCTGCTTCCGTTGAATGCACATCAAGCCCTCCAGATTATCAGCACTAATAGTGGCCTCTTTTAATATATGAAAAGAGGTGGTATTCGTATAGTCACCAAAAGGATGGAAAGTCCGTTGTGCGCTGGCCATCTTCACCCAAATAGAACGCCTGGTCATTATCGTTGTTTCTATAGACTGGAAGTTGCACCAAATACAGCTAATATGACAGGGCATTCTTTTCTTGGGGGGGGGGGGCTAACTTGAGTTGAGTCACAAAACCGAGTTATACTTGCACTATGGGGCAAGATACAGTAGAGTAGAGTAAACTCCATGCATGGACACAACGAAGTGTATGAAACACTCACAACGAAGAAGGAGGTATGGGAAGGTAGACAAGACAGGAAGTAGACAAGATGAAGAACCCCGAGCGCATCAGCTCGTAAAAGATATTCGTGAAGCACAGATACAGAAAAATGACGGAAAACCTGTCATAGCTTGAAGCACAACTGGCAAAAATCCCGACAGCTGTTTCGGCCGGCTCGCCAGAACCGGCACTCCTCAGGGGCGCGCTGGGTGTGAGAAAAAAGAAAGAGTATAATCGCTTATTAACATAAAAATCGACACTAGCCTATCTAAGAAAATACCGAGTACCCGAGTAGTACCGAAATAGTCAAGGGGCGATCCCGGACCAGAACCTACAAAAAGGTCCAACCTGTAAAACATTTAACCCAGGGGTCCCAGGCCCCCTTAATCCTAACATTAAAGTGAATCAAAGCATTGTGAAAGAAGGAATTCGGAAACTGCCTACGCCTAAGTTTCAATTTAAGGCTATACAGAAAAAGAGCTTCGGAGCCCGGTAACGTGCCCATAGCATATGCCTGGTGCAGAAAAGAAGAAATCACAGCCATCTTCTGTTGCTTGCTGCAGAAGGATTTATAATCCTGTAAATTATGAAAAATTATCGAACCCTCGTTGAAGAGGCATTCCTGATTCTTGTGAAGCACTTGACAGTATACTTTAGCAGGGATGGATGTTCACCAATATGTAGTCGACAGTCGAGATAAGGCCACTCCTTAGAACTACTAGTCTTCTCCAGAATCAGATGCCGATCATAACAACTTTCTTCAAATGCGTTGAATATCGTTACCGCTCTACTTTCTGACAGATTACAACCCAACTTTCCTTTAACAAAAATAGATACGTCATTAATCAACCTGCACCCTCTCACCAATAGCGAATTCTTCCCCAAACTCTGCAGAAAACAATACTCACTATGCATGCACAGTAAGCAAGCGAGCGCAGGACTGAAGGCTTTGCCCATGGGGATTCCTAGATGTTGCTTAACCACACTCCCCATAGCCATCGTGTAAGTATTGCGCAAATCAATGCAATAAACCGGATCAGTATCAAAAATTTTACGGACTTGTAGCCAGTTTCACTAACCGCAATCGAACAAAGTCGAACCCGTTTTCTCCGGGGACAGTACAAAAACTTAAAATAACCTTTTTCCTCAAATAAACTAACGGCCCATTCCACCGCTGTAAGAATAGATGGGTGTGAGAGACTACAGAACATTTCCTTTACGTCATAACTCCGACCAAAAATCACTTTCTTTATGCCTGTATTCTTGTTGATTGTGTCAAGAAAAAAAGGTAATAACTGCGTACTACGTAAATTGAAATGACTATGTTTCAGAATTCTCCTAATAATCTCATTCACATAAGCCGAAGTAAGCCTCTCTTGTAGATTCAGACCACGACGGACAAATAGGCCGCCATTTTCTGACGTCCTTACGTTTAGGCAGAACATAAGATCTTCCCAGTTTACCGTTACTACCCCATGTTGCCAATCTGTTTAACTTCTCCGATTTATACAACTCCTTACATTTCAACAAAACCGTCTCCTCATTCTCAGAGGTCCTACATAAACCCGGGTTATCAATAAACAATTTTTTCATTCCTTGTCCGTACATAGTCGGGCAGCAAATATACGTATCGCCCATGTTATGATCCAGGGGACAAAGTACCAACCCATGAAACTTATCCTTCCAGCAATGGATAGTACGAACAGACAGAGACTTTTCCTTAGTTTCGCACAACGAAATGCAATCGGCCAACACGGAAGTCGGGATATCAACATCCTTCCTAAAGAACTTGGAAAGTGAAGAACTGAGACTAATAGTATCGACCCTATAGTCTGGACACACAATATTATTGGAATTTCGTAATTCAGCAGGTACGAAGTCAACCTCACCAAATCTAAAGGAGACATGTCCATCTATTCTAGGAAAATTCTCATCCAACGAATCACATTTACACACAGGTTTGGCAATAACAGCACAAGATCGGTAATTATATAACAGATCGTCAATAGATTTATTCTTGGTCCAAACCAATCTAAAATGATTGCAGACCAATTCCAAATATTCAGCAGGAAGACTTAAACTACGTATAGCACGTTTACAAATGTCACGAATCTGATTTTTGACTAATCCTTCATCATATCTGATGCGAATTACCAATCTGGCCGACAAACACAAATTGAACTTTCTCCGACATGCATGCGATAAGACCAATTTCAAGGTGGAGCGAGATCGTTTACAAGAGAGACAACGAACTCCATTATAAGTACTGATAAAGCGGTTAAGGTCCCAGTCACATAGAAGCTTCCTAGTAACTGGCTTACTCAGAAGAAGAAGAAGGGTGTTTTTAACCTGCAGGGATCGAGAGCAGAAACGAGAGAGCTTATGGACGGTCAAAGAGACACCTGGTTTAAACCAATGTCGGCAGTATCTGAGGAGAGTGAGAGGGAGAGCATCGGAGGAGAGAACAGAAGACCCAAACATGCGTCTAATTAGCTTCCAGTTTTTCGCCAAACAGTTCCCTGAAATGATGGAGATGGTGAAGGGGTTGGTTGACCGAGAGTCATGAGCAACATGTAAGATTGACAAGAGGCTGACAGTGGTAGATCCAAGGGATGAAATGAAAGTGAACGGGATTTTTGACGGGGGAGTATAAGTAGGTTGAGGTTTATGATTGACGGATTGAGGGAAGGAGGTTATAAGTTGAGTAGGCGTGGAGGAATGTGGAGATGAACCAGTTGAGGGCGAAACAATGGGGGTTGGATTCAGATTGGTAGAAGCAGCAGAAAAGACAGCAGGTCGTTGTCTATAATATTTAAGTCTTTCTTTGCGTCCCGGTCTATAAGATCTGTGTCGTTTTTCATGCTTTGAAGAAGAGTTCAGCGAGGGAGTAAAAGAGCGAATAAAGAATTGCTCAGAAGGCAATAGATCAGAACTACTAGTAACGAAGAGAGGAATAGTGACATAGTTATCTAAGTTGGTCCGTCGAAGCCAGCGGTAAAGCTTGCGATTAGCGAATTTAAGAGTGGAAGACGATGAAGAGAGAGTAGAGGCAACATGTTCTTTCCAACGAGTGTCAATAGATCTAGAGGTACATCCAATATAGACATGGCGAAACCAGAGAGAAAAGATAGCGTAAACCACAGGGCGTGGACAGAGACGAAAATCATAATTACTGTTAATTAGTAGGGAAAGTAAACGAATAAACTTATTACCCCATCTGACGACCAGTTAGAATCAGCAAAATAACTACAAGACGAAAAATATACGTTACCTCCTATACCGGCAAAGAACTTCGATGATCGTGACAAAACAGAGCCAAAGACCAAAGATATGATGCACTCAGGGCGTTCCCCTAGTCATCGTTCGTCTCCTCAACCGAGGTTGAGTAGTGTTGGTCTTGTTCGTCATCTTCACGGGCCGTCCTCGATGCCACCCACTCGTCGAAGTCTCTTCTCGCCCGAATCTCGGCAACATCATTCTTTGCTTGATCCAACTTCACGTACGTGATGCCCTCCTCCTCACAAATCTTTTCAAAGTCGTTTTTCTTCCCTGATCGCAGTTCTTTGAGTCGCTTATCCCTGAAACCCTGCAATTTGGTCACTTCTAGCTCATGAGCCGTATCAGGGACAGTGCAACCCTTACCATTCTTACCTCGGTTTTCTTCATCCTCTTTCTCATCGTCGGAGTCGATCTCAACAGATTCGAGAGTGGTCTTCAAATTCCTTGGAGTCGTTTTTCTCGCGGCAACAAATTTCCGAATGGATAAGCGGATCTTGGAAGCCTCCGCCTTAGCCATCCGCTCCTTAAGGCACCCTGCTTCCCGTAATGCCATTTCCTTCCCTGCCAAGGCTTCTTTATATGCCTTGTACAACCCATCCATATCCTTGGGCGTGTACATAGCGCTAACATTCGCATCCACCCGGTGCTTGCCTCGCGATGGAGCTTCCGGAGGGCTCTTCTCAGTAACTGCCTCAGCGCCTCTCTTGCCTGCGTTTCGAAGAAGCATAAATTCCTCCTTCAAGTCGTTGAAGTCATGGCGCAGATGAAGATTTTCTTTCTTGAGTGAAGTGACCTCACTGCTCTTATCTTCCAGAGCCTTCTTGATTGCACCGAGTTCTTCAATCTGGATCTTAAGAGCAAGAACCTCATCTTTCTCCTGTTGAGAACCCATCGTCCTCTGTGTACTCTGCGCCTTCAGCTCATCGATCTCTCGTCGAAGTCTATCTTCCTCGCTGCTTAAGCCTTGTGCCCTTAATAACGCCTCCTTCTCTTTTCGCAACACCTCCAAATTTGATTCGTTCGAAGTGCTGGCACAGTTTGATTTCAACGCCTCCAACTCCTTCCTCATCTTACTAATTTTCGACTCCTCTTCTCCTGGTAGCTCAACCTTCCGCCCCAATGCAGATTCGCTGACCGTTTTCACATTCGTTCGTACTATGAGCCCTAACCTCGCCTCCTGTTGCTCCCTCTCCTTTCTCTCTTCCACCCGTTTCTCCTCCTCAGCTTGGAGCCTCTTTTTCTCCTCTTCCAGTGAGACCAGCCCAGCGGCCTCCCTTTTCCGCTGCTCTCGTTCCTCCGCTTGCTCAGATAGCAAGCCATAAATTTGTTCAAATCTCTCATCATGTTCTCTATCTCTGTTGTTGTTCGACCAATTCCTGGGATATCTTGAACCGTTGTTATATCCCCCGCCGGAGCCCGTATTGTAACTCCTATTACCGCCGTTGTAACTGCCATTGCCATACCTCTCGTTATCGCCGCCATACCCTTGATTCTGAGGAGCCTGATATGGCACTATAGCGATCGAAGTGCTCGCCGTGTTGGCGCCTTGTGCTGGTGCTGGTAGTAACCCGCTTCCAACGCCTGAAGCTGAAGACGAAGAGCTGGCTCCATTGTTCCTGATACGTGCTGCCATATCCGCTCCGTACGACACATTTTGAAAGGGGCACTCCCTTATGAAGTGACCCGACAACTGGCAAAAATGACAAACATTCTGCCGATGCATCGTAGGGGGACTACCACGTCCTCCCCGTAGCTGACGAAACGTACAAAAACCACCACACGAGGATGGAAAGAAAGAACAGCAAGGGGGGAGGTAGAACAGGGAAGAAGAAAGAGTAAGGGAAAGTCGATAAAGGTAGTATGAGTGTAATTGTGAAAAAACAGAGATCTGATAAGATCGAGGAACATAGTCACTCTAACAGGGTAAGCGCCCCGCCGGTTAGCTATGTGTGTGTCGCAGTAGAGTAAACTCCATGCATGGACACAACAAAGTGTATGAAACACTCACAGCGAAGGAGGTATGGGAAGGTAGACAAGACAGGAAGTAGACAAGATGAAGAACCCCGAGCGCATCAGCTCGTAAAAGATATTCGTGAAGCACAGATACTGAAAAATGACGGAAAACCCGTCAGCACAACTGGCGAAAATCCCGACAGCTGTTTCGGCCGGCTCGCCAGAACCGGCACTCCTCAGGGGCGCGCTGGGTGTGAGAAAAAAAAAAGAGTATAATCGCTCATAAACATACGAAATCGACACTAGCCTATTGTGGCATACTGTGCAGCCACACGGGCCCTGCAGGGCCCGTCCCGGACCTCCAGCCTGTTTCCCTACAGGGAAACTTCCAGGCTCTTGCCTGGAAGCTTCCTTCTGACAGGGCCTACAGGCCCCAGCCTGTTTCCCTACAGGGAAACTTCAGGGAACTTCCAGGCTCTTGCCTGGAAGCTTCCGCACGGTCTAGGCCAGGGGAGCATTGGCATGGCCAGCCTCCTGCACGGGCCAGCACTATAAAGGACTGGCCCGCCCTGCAGGA